CTTTTTTTTTTTTTTTTTTACAAATTTTAGACTGTTGATTTCAAATAGATAAACATACATTAAATGTTTTGATCGTATTGCAGAAGATCTTAGATCTGTGACACTTTGTCATTCAGCGCATGTATGAACCCTTTAACCCCCTCTAAATTAATGTTCCAAATATTAGTACTTAAAACAATCAACTTTAATAGCTTCTATTTTCTGACACAACTTCCCACATTCATACTAACTTCTATGATAAATGCTAACTTGCAGCGCAGTGGAAACCAATCGATGGTCCCACTAACCGATGTGCTCGACGTCATGGTTGTGTAAATCGTGTGGCTGGCACTTTTTGTTTGCTCATTGTTCATATCTGAATGGCTGACAAATAGGCAGTGGCACAGAGCCGAGGCCTGGCTAAAAACTCAAAGGGGGGTATAGGATCTGCGAGCCTATACACTGTTTGTGCATTTTGCATTTTCAAATGAGATGGGAAGGGTTGGGGAGAGAGTGTGTGTATGTGACAGACAGAGAAAGACAGAGTGGGAGAGTTTATTTGCATCACAATGGACTGGCCTTGTTGCCTCGCCCTTCAACCCAGGTTTGGTGAGCACTTGTGTGAATCCTGGCAACCAATGACACTCTCACGCAAGCATCTATGTCTGTATTTCTCAGGGGAACTGTATATAAACCATTTTACACTACACTTCTCGAAGCGTTACTCAGTTGGTCACAAAAGACGAGTGTGATTGAGAGTCCTGCTGTACCTTAGAGTTCAGATCTCTGTGGTAGATGTTCTTGTAGTGGAGGTAAATCATCCCTCTGGTGATGTCAGAGGCCAGGTCTACTTTCTCCCTCCAGCATAGAGGCACATCTTTCCTGGCCAACAGCTCCTCTAAACATCCTCCACTAACATACTGTCCAGACAAACACAGTCCGTGAGAGAAAGAAACAAACATACACTTTCACTTTTATTGTTATTGTTAGGCGCAGGGCTCAGCAATAAGGATCTCTCTGGGGCAAATAAAATAAAATAAAAATACTTTACAATATGGTCCCATTTGTTAACATTAGTAAATGCATTAGATAAGATACAATGAGCAATATATAATAAAGCATTTATTCATCTTTGTTAATGTTACTGAAAATATAATTGTTCATGTTAGTTCACAATGCATTAACTAATGTTAACTTTTGATTTTAATAATGAATTAGCAAATGTTGAAATGAACATTGGCTAATGTTAATAAATGCTGTAGAGTTATTATTTATGGTCAGTTTATGTTAACTAATGTAGTTAACTAATGTTAACAAAGGAAAACTTATTGTAAAGTGTTACAAAAAATAAATAAAATAAAAACAATATAATACTGGTATAAGCTCATT